TCTAGTTGAAGAGGTTTACATTAAAAGCAAACATACACACACACACATCATCTCTTCCCGCTACTCCAGGTCCAGGTGGGGACAAAAGAAGAACCTCCCAGGACCTTCAGTTCGTGACCTCTTTGGAGTCTCATCCAGTGGCCTCTGGACTGGGACTATATACGCTATATAAGTCACCTCATGACTCATTCTGGGAATTCTTGGATCTCAAGTGCGCTCACGAACTGAAGCTCCTGGATGCCCCTGGAGCTCCATCCACACACACGTGGATAGGCCGGCGGCACCGTCAGTGTTGCATCGCCCGCAAGAAGGCGATCACCGCGTCGCGGACTTCGCTGGACGAGGCTTCCAGGGTCAAGCTCCGGCAGGGCGGGCTTTGCAGCACTGCGTGCGTGGAGACCTACCGTGGCGTGGAGACCTACCGTGGCGTGGAGACCTACCGTGGCTTTGAATGAGGTGCCTTTAAAGTGGTGGAACGTCTGGTGGAGATCATGAGCTGCGGGTTTAGACCCCAGGGTGGAGCCACCTGGAAGGTCAAGCTACATGGTGGACCAAACTCCAGGTTTTGACCCATCCCCAATTAGGCATTGGATCCATCCGCCATAGACAAGTGCCCTCCTGTAGACCTTCCTGCGCAAATTGCTTGGAGTCCAGTGGCCTGTCAATTGGTTTCGGAAGATGGGAACAGCTGGCTTGCCATGAGCGGCCAGTAACTCCATGCACAAACGCATGCAAAGGGTGTCCGTCCAATGGGGTCGGGATGTAGGACCACTGAGGTGTTCCACATGGTTTCACCACTCAAGATTCCATTGAAGGTATCCATGTGCTTCAGGTTCCCATACAAAATCTGAGGCGTGTTTTGCGGGGAACCTGCCAAACAGGTCGGTGCCTTCGGCTTCCCAGGCAAATGCTCTGCTTTAGGCACTGACGTCTCAGGTAGCAGTAGCGCCAACCGGCGCCGGTCCCCGCTACCTGCGGGCAGAACGAGCCACGGAGTGGCTGGGGATCTGAGTCGATGATGGTCATCAACAAGATACCCTCCTGAAGCCGAAGTGGAAAATGGTTCCTAGAAATTCATCTGCAAAGAGGGGATTGTCACACTGCCATGTTTGTTGGGTAACTGACAATCCCCAAGCGCATCCTAGTCCCCACCGGCAGGCCTATCCTTACTTGGCACGCAACAAAAGGCCACTGAAGCGAAATGGAGGGCAAGCTTTGTTATAAACACCAATCAAACACACCCTAGGAATCCAAGTACCTTCTCAGAAGGTGATTGGAGACTATTTGTGTAGGCTTGGAGGGCCCAAGTACCTCCTGAGAAGGTATGTGGATCCCTAGGGCATAATCAAACAGGCTGAAGAGCCATCCACATCCATCACCACCTTCCCCGCACCTTGGGAGCTACAGTGCTCTGCTGCTTGCGCCAGCTCTTCTTGCAAACCCCAAAGCTCCAAGACCACGAAGGGCAAAGGCCAGGAGTATTTCCGGACGAGGACGCCCAGGTGCTGGGAAGTGTAGTACTCCTTACATGCCAAAGAAACTCTTTACCGATCCAACAAATTATGGATCGCTTGTCGGACTATGAAGTGGGGATAGATGTGCTTCAGCCAGCTGTGATATCTATTTACTGTATATCTATATATATAGAGAGAGAGGGCGGGTAGTCATGGGGGCGGGGTGGGGTTGTGAAAGTTGTGATTTTGCAAGGTCTTGCTCTTTTTGCAAGTGACATGACATTGATGGGATTGTGAAAGTGTGGCTCTATTGTTGCAGCTGGTAAGCATATATGTTCATTCAACTATGTGCTAAAGAAGTCATAACTCCATAAGATCAGGTGTAATCTAATTCCATGCAACAACCATAGTTCTTGCTTTTAGTCATGTTGTGAGTTGCGTTGCTCTCATTGAATGCAGTTTAGTGAAGTACATCCGAGTCAAATGGCAAATGATTGCAAATCCGAAATGACCTAATTCCAATTGAATTCAACATCACAGTTATTGTTAATTCTATTTTGAACTAAATCCTACGTAAGTCCATTCCAATTGTCTTTTATTTCTACTTTAATTCTACTTTGATTCAGATCAAACAACGCCGTATAAAACAGATCTGAACTTTTGCACTTTTGGGCAGACCAGCCAAAACAAAAAAGTTGAGACGCATGGAGAGGGACTGAGGAGAGACTGGACAGGGGACATTGTTTTTTGTTGTTACATTATTTTTGATGAACTGTTTTAATGCTTTCATATCACTACCCTCACAAGAACGCGCGTTTCTACGGGCTTCACCATGAATAAACCCTTCTGTAAAAATATCTAATACATTAGACTCATCATTAGACATAGAAGCCGTTGGAAGAGAAACACTCCTGCCATTCCAAGCACTCTGTGTATTTGGAACATGTGCTGATCGAAACGAAAGCCATCCTGTCAAACAAGCTGCGAGTTGATTCTGTTGAAAGGGGAATGACCTGGAGCATTCTGGTGAATAAGGGGGGATCAAAAAAACAAATTGAACCAGTAGGTGTTCTCATCTGAGAAGGTACGGAAAGGTCCTAGAGAAGAACCGAAAAAAACAAAAGCCAGTTGGCCAGCCATGAGCCAATTTACCTCACTCCTTGTGGAACGTGTAGCAAAACTGCTTCAACATGTTGTCTCTTGACACGACGTGTTCTCCAGCTGAGCATGTTAGTGAAATGAAGGGTGCAAAAGGTACCTCCATCGCTGCACATGACAGCTAGTCCTTGGCACGTTAGGACTCGTCCTTGTCCACCGCTATAGTCGTTGACCAAGTGATGCATCTTGACCCGATCTGTGGGGCTTTTGGGCCACATCAAGGGGTGTGGCAGGTGGGTGGATAGTGAGGGAAGGCGCCCGGCCCACTGGGCCACCGGGGCCGAAGTGATGCTGTTCGTTTGAGCTAGCAGTATGCAGCTATGCAGTATGTAAAGGTTCGTGATCTAACTGGATGGTGATTAAGCCGGGTGGATGGTGGGAGGTCTGTATCACCCTGTTGGAAGACACCCCGATTGTCGGCACCCGCTCAAACTTTTCCTCGCGAAGCCCAAAGGGCAGGAGTATAACAATTTCATATAATGATTAGTCTTTAGGACAGTTAGTAATAAAGAAATCTCACTCACAATCACACATTGTACAGGATAACAGTGTTGGACAAATCACTATGCATCTCGAACAGACTCAAACATGTAGTGCTTGGAAGGACATGTCCAAAACACATCATCTAAACACCGCCAAACCGGTCGTCGTATCCTGTGACCACCTATGACCACCTCCAGGAGAATCCGAGGGGCGGACTCTGTCAGGTACTCCGACCAATGCCTGCGACCAGCTTGGCCATGGCTTTTGGCGACCAAGATCTGGGAGGATCTGTTAGAAACACACCCTGGTGTCCAATCAGCTTGCAGCATCCCAAAGCCCAAAGCTTCAAAGATCTATTTTTGCCTTTAAGCCTTTAAGCATACAGTATGAGCACTAGGAGGGACATGTGGCAGTTGTTCTCAGAACACATGGCCACCCGTTCTGCCAAGCCACGGGCTCCACCCCTTCATCAAGGTCTTCGCCTCGCCCTGGCTCAGGGTCACCCGCAGCGGCCACAGCGCCTGCACCTCCTCGGCACCCAAGCCATCCGGGTCGGCATAAACGTAGAAATCCACGATGCGCCCGGCCTTCCTGGGGAAACGGGTCGCCGCTTGAGCAGGCGGGCGCTCGCTCCGGTCGGCTCGGCGAAGGGTTGAGGGGGAAATGGAACCGTGGTGGGAGCCTTGAGCTCTCCAGATATGAAACCACCTGATACGCCAAACCAGGAAAGAAAGCTCCGGATGTTACAAGGGAGGGGAAGATGGATCACCGCCAGGCAACCGGTCCGGAAGATGGAAAGCTCCCTCAGGTTCGGTCAAAAACCACCCAGCCCAACTTCGAAACGACTTGGAGCGCGGCCTATAGGGAGTGTGGAAAGACGCAGAAACGCCATCGGAACATGCTATCCGGATCGTGCCATCCGGCTCGTGCGTCTTTCGCCGCCGACGATGAGCACGTGCTCCCATAGAATGGGAAGGAAAGACTGACGTATCCGCTGCTCATCAAGTATACTCCATCGATCTAAGTTGTGCTCCAGTTCATTTGATGTTTGGATGATCTACCTTATAAATTAATTGCATTCCCCCCAGCCAACTCAAACAACATATATAATAATATATATATAACCATTAAAATTGTGATATGAGTTGGTAGTTATAGCATATCTTAGCCGGCTTAGACAGCCAAACCGAGCTTCATCCATGGCACAAGGCCATCAACAGACTTCACATCGCTTTGATTCACATAGAGAAGACCCCAGTGCCTTCCCGCCAACTCGTGCTCTATCTTCGCCAATGGCTGAATCCAGCCTCATGGACAAGTCCAAGAATTTCATAGAACCGGGTCAGCCACCAGTAGCTGGCCCAAACACGACCCATGGGACTGCCATATATGCCGATCAATTGACCCCCCAAACCACCGCAATGTATATAGGCATATATGGCAGTCCCATGGAGTGTCTGGGTGGTATATATAAAATTGGGACCACGAAAACACACACATGCAGGTTCCGCCCTTCTTGAGGTTTCAATGAAGGGTCCCTCTCAGGCGGCCATTCAGTATAAGCACCTGCAGCCATGTCAGAATCCATCCGATCGGTCAAAAGAAGATGCACGACTTATGGATACTTATGGGACTTCTTGGCCCAGCCAACTGCCCCACCTTGTTCAGACCTACCAGCTCCGAACAAGGGCTAAGAGCTATACGTATACTTAGTCCTTGGGAAATGAGACACAGAAGACCGCAGAATGACCACTCAAACCACCTCACCGCACCCCATCCAATCACCATCTTCCCACCCCCCCAGTCCAACTCACGATCGCACTTCAATCAAGTTGCCCATGTATCCCCTCCACTCTGTAATCAGGCCCACTACCCGATGTTCACGGATCCGCGCCCGTGGCACGAAGGGCGCCGACGCCGCGTTCAGCGTGTCCTTCGGCGATGCATCGGTGTCCTTGGCCTGCCAGCCTTGGATCCGGACGGAGGGAGTCCCACCGCCACCTCCACCCACCAGTGACCCTGCACCCAAGAAAGTCCCACCGCCACCTCCGCCTTCATGTGGGCCTGCCATGATGGACGCCGATTTGCGCAGTGGAGTCACCCATGGGGGAAGACCATCACCCAGACACTCCATGTATGCCATATATGCCGATCAATTGACCCCCAAAACCACCCCAATGTAAGCATATATGGCAGTCCCATGGAGTGTTTGGGTCAAGAGATGTGGAGCATTTTGGGATGCATGGGCCGTGCCATGATATGGAAGGTATTTCCTCCCGGGCGGTTTCGATTCATCATGATTCCGGGTGGGGAATTAAACATGAATCGGAAAAAAAAGTTATGACCCGTCTGAGTCTACACATTCCAGAACAATTCAAACCGCATACATATTTCACAATAATTCGGGTAGACATCAAGTTTTGAGATGGCCTGTTCCTTTGCCTATGCCTGGGCTAGGGGACCACGTGCCTATACTCCTGACATGTCTCAATTAGTGGAATCATTTTTCTTTTGATGTATCAACAAAATACGACACATTATGATAGTATGGCACAGTTCTTTTGTTCAGGGAGCTCTGTCAGAAGACCCCAGGTTTGCCGCGTTTCTAAGGCAAGGCATAGCAAAAAATGGCCAGAAAAAAGTTCCAAGAATTGTTGACATCTCACATACCGATGGAAACATCCTGTCGAAACGCCATTCTTAGATAGATTTGCAGGAGAGGGAATGAAAAAGAGCAAGCCAAAGAAAGGAACAGAAAAGCGACCACAAAGTTAAGCTTGCCGCACCTTTCACATCTCACACACCCTGGAAACATTCTACAGAAACACCATCCTCAGGAAGACATGCAGACTTGCAAATAACCCAAACGAAAAAGAGCAAGCCAAAAAGAACAAAACCCGATGGGTCTGAAGACCCAAAAGCAACAATGACCACCCAAAGCTCATGGAACAACATGGAAGCACTTAGAATCTGTTCCTGGGTCATTCTTTGGGGATGGCGGTGCTCTCCAACTCTTCACCTTGTTCTTTTGTTATGTCCAAGGTTGCTTTTCTCTTGTCCAACAAAAACAAACTCGAATTGAGCAAGCAACGTTATCCATTGTCAAAGAACCTCTTGCACTTGACCCTTTTTTGGAGACGGTATTGTCCTCCAACCTTCTTGTTTCTTGTTTCTTTCATTCTAGGATTGAGCAACGTGATCTACTATGAACAATTGTTCTGAAATATTGTCCATGCCCCCCTTTCCCCTCCCCCTTAAAAGCTCCCCCTAGGCAAGTACATGCATATGTTCTTCAGTTAAAATCAGTCCAAAAAAGTTATTCCAGCCAACTCACCCCGCTTTGGAATACTAATTTAGTGGACAGCCCATGCAAACCCTATGTAAATTACAAATTCCCAAGATAGCCAAACATAGTGCACACCTGTTGACTATATAAAGTAAGTAGCTGTCTTCTTCATCCCATTCTCCAGCAACTTACTTCGGGCACTGGGCGCCTGGGCCTTACATGTCTTACATCTTGTCTGGGACCGGTGGGGAAAGGTATGCCTTGTCTAGTCTGTTCTACTAGGACTTCAGTCCCTAGGGCTCCAACCACCTCCTGAGAAGGTGGTTGGGGTGGGTTTGGAGGGTCTAACCACCTTCTGAGGATATGGCTGGAGCCCTAGGGAGTGAATGTCTTAAATGACCAAAGGGTTTCGAGGGACTGAAGAAGACCTCCACGGCCAAGCGTCCAGGGCTTGTGGAACACAGGCCTCTTTGGAGATGCTGAGTCAATTGGCCTGTGAAATCACCAGAACCCAATGATGACAAAGCAAACCCCTGCTGGCATCTATCTCTCCCTCTCTCTGGTTGATGATTCCTATTACTATATGCTTAGAATATGTGAAGATCTACGATCCATGTCAAATTCAGTTGCCCAGAAAGCACAGGGCTCCCAACATACACCCAATCTGCCGGGCCAAGCTGCGTAGAGATGCTTTGCTCTTGGGCTTCACCCGCGCCATGAGGGGCCGGTCGGACCCACCCCTTTTCGGGAAATGGCTGCGCTGGGCGGCTCAGGGTCCCTGGGGTAGGCGGCCCTGAGGGTTCTCATAAGGTCCGTCGTCCGGTGTCATGGTGCAAACTGATCTGCTGTGGCCGACCGTCGTTCCATCACTTCAGATCACTAAGCTCACCGTTCCAGGGAACCGCCAATCAGGAAAAGGCTTTCGCATCTGGGGTCGGCCAGTAGAAGGTAGCACAAGGAAAAAAACACCTAACTGCAAGGACTCACATGACTCACCAAATAAATGTAACGCCCCAGGTATAGACGTTAAAAGTCGAGTCTAGCAAGCCCACTTTCTCCAAAAGAAGAAGGTCGAGTGTATGTTTGTGCGTTTCCATGCTTGCCGAAGAAAGAATTGAGAACGTGAATACGGAGAACACTCCCGAAGACTAACATAGACCCTGACAATGGTCCCATGGAAGACTATTTTTCTCTACCAACCAGGGGTTGTCAGGTTCCATGTTAGTCTTCCAGGGTGTAACACCCCACCAAGAGATAGATATCTTGTTGGTTTGTCAAAGGGGTCGACGAGTCGAGGGGGGTGAAAAATGCCTGAAACTCCATGGGACTGCCATAGTTACCGGGTCGTTGGGGGGTCTATGGTGGTTTCAGAGGTCGAATTCATTGGCATATATGGCAGTCCCATGGAGTTTCAGGCATTTTGGTTGACCTTCTCTATCTGTGACCTAAGCCGCTAGCATGGTGGAGTGTCGATATGTTCAATGCACACCAAGAGGTTCAGTGACCTTATAGGATATGAGATAGTCTTTGGGATGGGGTTCTTCAACCACTCTGTTGACAAACGCATCCCGGGAAGGGCTCTGTTGCTACCGAACCGTTTCGATTCGACTGGGACTGGGGTGCTTTCGGAAGGTCTTTCTCCAAGTCTTCCGAGGATGTACACTCCGACTCACTAACATGCAAGTGGTATACATGCAAGTCTGTAGAGGAAAGTAGTCTTGCAAGGGACCATGCCATCCACTTCCATGTGATGTGTTCGTCAGAGGGTACTTCGGATGGTGATGGGGATGTTGGATCCTTCACTTCCGGCTTTTCTCACCGTGCCTGGCCGAAGCTCCTTCGGCGGCGAGGATGCCTCAGCAACCCAAAGGTGTGGCCAGGCTGGCTCCCCCATAGACCATTCTCTCATCATTACATATCATTTCTATAGATGCATTCAAGAAAAAAACAATCTAGTGAACAAAAACAAACAAACACCCTCCAACAGGTCACCACCTGCGACTTTGAAGTCTGCAAAAGCCACCAAAGGAGACCTGTTGGAGGGTCCTGGTACATATTAGGACCGTTTATTCAATATCCACCTACACCATTCTCTTCAACACTTGAACAAAACTCCAACCCCTGGGTTTAGCGTTTGACACACATTGCCACACTGGAATATGGAAGACGCGGAGCATCTTCCTATACAATGAACCATCCTTCCATCTCTGATCTAGCCATATGTCTGAGCATCTCGGGCTTATGAATGCCCATCACCAAATAGGTCGACCTTGCTCAAACCATGGAACTGAAGTGATTTCAAACACCAATTCTGTTATAACATTCTATCAACATCTACCAATGACAATCTGTTATGTTAATAGCACCAATCATGAAAACACCTTCTTTATAGAGATGAAATCATCAACAAAAAGTCTACTGTAAATAACTATATAAATATAACACTATGCGATATTCAATATGAAGCATGATCACCTCCTGCACTCTGTGAGCGCCCTGGGCTCGCCTCGGGCTCAGCCACAGTGTCCGACTTCAAGAGCTTCTCCGTTGGTCGGCTCGGTCCGCCTGGGTGAGGAACGCAGCGCAGGGCACATGGCACAAACACCACGCTGTGACCGACGTGTTTGGACGGTTCGACGATCTTAGAAGGTCAAGGTTTCTCAAGAGCAACCCATGTCTGTTCATGTTCTACTTGCAAAAATCCCGACTCAAGCCTATATCAAACACATCCCAGCATGCAGGTGCTTGGAACACCCTTTGGGAGAACTGACGTTGTCACGAAACGAACCTGTTTCGATGTTCGTCACAGCAGTCCTTGCTGGGACCGCCCCAAACCCATGCAGTTGTCGAGCCCGTCTCGTCGCGTCACTTCGCACCAAGCGACCGATCAAGGTTTTGTACCTCAGTCAAAAGCCATCCGATGTGAGAGTTCTTCAGTTCTGGTGGTTTGGGGGCAGTGGAAACCACTTGGTGTGCTAAGTTGGTGGAGTTGGTGGGGTTCTTTGGTTTGAAAGCCAACAATGATTGAAGTAGAATTGTGAAGATGTTTCTGCCATTGATCCTTCCAGGGTCGAAGAAAACCCTCCGTTGGGGGAGCCTTTACGAGGAACAAATCCCAATCAACTCCATCACTGGTTTCTGGAGAGTGATCTATTGTCACTGAAATCATCGATGGCCGGGGATGGGCCCTGGGATTCTCTCATTGACTCATAGCCCATCCACTTAGAAAGCACACTCTTTGTGACGTGACCTGCTCTTCTTGCGCCACGTCCTGCAGTCACACAAGTCCCCCAAACGAATTTATGTCCTGTGCACATTAATATGTACACCCTTGAAGTCCAAAGACTATTTTTTGCACCACCCCAGTAAAACTCAGTTTGATTTTTGGGGGCGAGCAAAGGATCCAAGTCTATCCACAAGCAAAGACCAGTTCCCTTCCGAAGCGCAAGCGGTGGGATGGGCTGCGGCTAAACGACTATGACTGCCCTTCAGATACATAGGCCTAGGAAAAATGAGATGCATAATTCACACAATAGTGTGCAGCACTACATTCATCTCCCACAGAATCTTGATTTTATATCAATTGGGCTTCGCCCATCACCACCGTACGAACGTGCAAGGCCTACTAACCTTTCGCTCGAGGTCACTAAAGCACATTTGGACGAACACCCTGGAACAACATCTGGTCCCTGTGAAAGTGCTTGAGCCACCGCACGCCCCCCGGAGGATCTTGGCGAACCAGAAGTACTGCAAGCCTGCCTTAGTGGCATGTGGCAGTGGCAGTGGCTGGCTGCATGGTGGATAGATCAATCAAGTAAATAATGCCTGGTAATGCCTTCTTCATATCTGTACTAGTTAGTGGAAAGGGCACACCACATCAATGGACATCCCACTGAAAGTCAAACGTGACGTAGTGGGCTCCTGGCTTTTTTATTGAGAATCCCCGAAACACACCACAATGATCTGGTAGAACATCACAAACAGCTTTCTCCACCCATCCTCTGAGAGCGTTTTTTGGTGGCCTCGTACGGGCCATACAAATCCAAAGATTCGTGAAAACGGATCTCAACATTGACAACCAGCCGAAACATGGGTGTGCATCTCAATCGAGAGGTCCCCAACCAATTAATGGGTTTCCATGGGTTTCCAGGGGGTCTTTTGGGAGATCTCCCTATGTCTTAAATAATGCACACTCCACATGAGGCCATCTATATACCTTTCTGAACCCTCAGAGCGACCCACGGAAAGCCACATCTTGCAAAAGACCAGCTGCACGCCTGTACCCTGCCGACGGGCTCAACATATCCCGAGCAGGGAGGATCTGAAAAAGCAGCAGAGTAGTGGTATCAAACTGCAGGCCTCCAAGGGGTTAATCATATGGATATCTGCCGTCAAACACAAAAATAATCAAAAGCAAAAAACAAACACCACCCCCAAAAAATCCACCGAAAAGCGGAGCCTATTTGTTCTCATGTCCATGTCATTCTTCTTGTTTTTTCCTGGATTTGCTAGAAGGAACTGGGGAAAAATAACACATCTTCCGAATATTCCCCCGAAAAGGGGATTCACTCCATAGGCCTGGGGAATGTTCATCACCCTAAGCACAACCAGGTTTTGCTTCGGAACAGGGTCCGGTTTCGCTTTTGGCTCCATAGAAAACCCCTGGCCGCCACACCCGAACGCCACGCGCACGAAAAGGGAACCCGGCTGGGAGACCCGCACTCCGCCGAAGTAGCCCGAAAGGAAAAGGATACGATTCAGCACTGGGATCGTAAAGAGCCTCATGATGGTTTGAGGTTTTGAAGAAACCACCATGATGGAAGATCAGGTGGTAGTGAGATGGGTCTTCAGGGTCCGCTTCGCATTGGTTCTGCCAGCGCAGGGAGGTCTGCTTATTTGAGGATGCCCGAAATCGGGTTGGGCTTGACATTAAGCATAGGCTTTTCAATAGGATCCAACCTGGTCTGGACTGCCAGTATCACCTCAGGGAACACCATGAGCAAGATGTGCACGAATGACAGGAAAAGAAACCCTGCAGGTAGATCATTGATTTATCATTATGTATCTTATGGCGTCTGAAGAAAAACAATTAAAACATGCATAAACATGAAACATCTGTCTAAGCTGCCTAACAAGGGTTCAGGAGCCGCTGCCGGGTGGTGCTGCCAAGGGTGTTGCTGGCAGTGTGTTGCTGGGTGGAGGCTGTGCCCTTTCTAATTGTCTATGGCAGCGTGCATAGACATCGCGAATATGTTGTGTTATCTGGGGTCTATGCTGGCGCAATTGTTCCTAGTACCCATTTGACCTCTGTTTTGATAGGAAAAGACATGAAAAGACTTATTTTGAGTGGTTCATGGTCCAAAATAGAGGTAATTGTAGGATTTTATTGCCCTTCCAGGCCTTCCATGTTATCTTAGTTGTCTCCGGGCTGCCGGACCCTTCTGAGCTGCGATAGATGACGACCGCCATGTAGGTGTACAGGCACACCTGACCGTCGTGAAAGAGGGGGTCGCCGGTGCGAAGAGAAGAACGCCGGAGACGTGGTTCCTTTCGTTTGGAGACCCAAAAGATCGTGGAGCCGTGTGTTTCTGATGCTCAGACCAATTCTGACCATGTGCCCATTCCTGGTTCTCCGTGTGAAGAACGCGGAGTCTGGCCACCAGTTTCACTCCACTTAGGAGAAAGACAACACCCCACCAATGGCGTGGTCATTAGCGCAAAGGAACGATATAGCACGGTGACTGGCACGGTGACGGTGTGATGGATCCACACCCACATGGGGAGCTAAGCTAGCTAGCAATCCGCAGGTAGCTACAGTCACCATGGAGAGTCCGCTGCGTTTGGATGGAAGTGGACGTGTCAACACCACTCCCAAAAAGACGAACGAAGTCTCTGATACTGAGATCTCCAATGTCTCCCTACTCTGAACGGCATTCTTTCCCGGTCATTCTTGCACATCTTGGACACCAACACTTAAAAAACATCTTCCAACACGTTTAACTGAACAGTCTTTCAAAATCCTCTGATTTTGGACCCTGGCCTTCCACTGAGTTCCGTTGACCCTGTTCTGTAAAACCCCAATGGTTGTTCGGCAAAGGCTTTAAATCAATGATGGTTGGATGCCTGTGGTATGTCAAACATCGCTACAGCTTCTTTTAAAACTGGTTTGTCCAAAAGGTCATCACACTGTATTGCTTATTGATGTGACGTGTGTTTATTTGTGTGTCTGTCTCCAGTACCCCGCACAAAACCACTATCGCTCAAACCGGCTTCCCGCTCAGCTCGCTCCAGAGATCCGTCGTCTTAGGCCCAAACTCGAAAGATGAAGAAGGAGATCATCATCAACATCTGGGGCCCGGTGGCACCCACGGGTGCGGCGGCGACGGTTGCTTCGGACCGGACCCAATGTTTGGGAAGCAATGTTAAACACATCCAGCTGCCAGTCACACTAAGTCACCAGTTGATACAACTTGAAACTATTTGTGGAAATGTGGAACAACATTTGGCCACATCCCTGATTGAGTGCCATAGGACTGCCGATCAAGCCAGACCCCCCTGGCACCACCCCTGGCCCGGCCGTGTAACTCGGCCGTCCGGCAGTCCCAAACAGGTCGGCCAGGTCGTGGGATTGAAGGTCCGTCCGCTGGTACCCGGCCACTGACTCAAGCGCTGGCCACTGCTATCCCAAGGGGTCAGATCCCGGACCGGGGTCCGCATCATCCCGGCGGACCGGTGGCGAAGTGGTGGTGCCGTGGGGTGGTGTCTTCCGGGGGCCTTTTGTGAAGATGTTGAGGAACATGATCTGCCTATCTCCTCCAATTACACCACAAACGGGAGATTTTTTTATATGTTGTGTGTTTTTCCCGACCATGCGGTCGTTTTCAGTGGCCATGGTCCGCTTCCATGATGGCTTTCAGCAAGACAATGCCACCTTGAACCGGGTCAAGTCAGGCAACGCTTGAACGATCTCCCAAGTTCTCCCCGTTCTTGACATCGCCGGTCCAAAGAGTGTCCCGCTGAGGTCTCGTGCTCCATTGGCCAGGTACACCTTGCCTCAGTGTTCATGGTCCACGCAAGCGGTCTGTACCACACTCCAACGTCGGTGTTTTTCCGTGTGCAACCCCGGCGGCATGTACAGCGAAAAGGACGAAAAGGACAATGCTGTGTGGCTGTGGGACTCTTATTATTGTAGACCTTCAACATCCAGCACCTTCCAACAGGTCTCCTTTGGAGGGTTGTTAGGCCCTAACAGGTTTCAATTGGTGACCTGTTGGCCGTCGGTGCTGGATGGTGCTCCGCAACGAACCATGCCATGGGCTCCCTCATCCCACCACCGTCCAAGACACCGGACTGGGGCTCATCGGCTCAGAAGCACATGAAAAGCCATGTCGACATCCATAGACCCAACACATTCAATTGAAACTGTTCAATCATCGGTATGGTCCGGACCTAGTATCAGCCCAGCTTCGTCTCTTTCTTCTCATGGATCTCTCTATGTTTTTCTGTGCTCATCGCCTTCTCCAAGAGATTACCCTTCCCTGCTCTGTCTCCGGGACTTCATTCTATCCAGAAATTCCACCATTCTACCTGCTCACCCGCCCTTCCCTCGGCCTTAAGCAAAGGCGACGGCGCTCTGTTTGAGCCAAGTGGCCAGTCTTCATGCCTGCCTTGTCCAAGTACCATCGCATCGCCACGAAGGGCGTCGAGCTTTCACACCTCGGAGCCCATGGGGGACCGGATGGCGGGAGGCCGCTGGAGGCCCTGGAGCGGGGCAAAGAAGAAAGCGGGTGGTAGAACAACATGAAAAGACAACACATAATATAAGTCGATACATATGAATCCATAGATCTAGTGTCATTGGTCAGGCCACTGAGCATTTGACCTCTGAATTCTTCGGTTTTCTTTTTTGGGGGGGGCGGGTTGGAGACTCATGTCTTGTCTGTCCTTTTTCCAGGAGCAACCGGGCAAATCTGAAGCATTTCTGAAGGAGATGGGCCCAGGGAAACCATGAAGAGAATCGTTTGGCTGGATGACAGCCATGCTGGTATTGCTTATTAAACTTAGCAGTTTGAAACAGCTCCTAGTGCAAGGCAAAGTCCAGTAATCAGTGTCTGATGACCCCCGCTGCAAAGCGGTGTTCATGTCTTAGTGGGGTCTCCGATCAAAGGGGCTTTCACGTGTCTCGTTCAACGTAGTGACCTACCACATCCGGGTTTCCCATGTGCCGCAACCTTTTCACGGAGCGCAAACTTGCCGTCGGCAGCACACCTTGACGTCGGTCAAAACGGTACTGCAAAGACCACCAAAAGGCCACATTTGTGGCACACGGAGAATCGCCGCTTGGGTTGAGCGATCAGGCAAGTCTTGTACTCCCTCCGATCAGGCATGGTTTGAGGTTTGAGTGTCAACCTATCATTGGACTCATTGGGCCTGCAATCCTAAGCTGATGGGTGAACTGCTGGTTCTGCGGCACCCTTTCAACCTTTATAGTTTAAACACCAGTTTCTCAATGACTACCTCCAACTATCTCCAACTTCCGAATTCGTATCCCCTTAGGGGAGAGGTCTGAGCTGTCATCACGTTCAACATGTTCTGATCTTCGTTGAGATTGACATGGCCAGCTACCCACATCGCACACCCGACGCTCCAAACGCTGATTTTGGCTCGTGCAACATTGCGCCGGGCGCCATGTTGCAACATCGGCGTGAAACTGCGTAGTGCAACGCTGCAGCTCAACAGCTAGGCTTGCGCACCAGACCCTCAGGTACACCCTCTGGCGCTGTTTCCGCTGCTCCCTTCTTCTCCTCGGGCTTAGGCCTTCAATTGGCGCAACACTCCGCGGGTGAAACGTCTGCGTGTCCAAAGTGGGGCATATGGATTGCGGTACTGTGGCTCACACCTTGAACTATGGCATATAGCTTTGCCCATGCTTATCATGACCCAAGTTAATCACTTGTTGCTAGGCTGCTAGTCTGATACCAGCCTGGAACGGGAAGCATGGGATTAGAAACAACAAATGAATTCAACACAGTTCATTCCCCACGGATCCACATACCAAACCTCAGGAGGTACGACTGGGCCCTCCTGGCGCCTACAATAGTCTCCCTTCTCACCGTACCTGAGGTTCGGTACGAAAACGGATCCCTAGGGATTGATTATATAAGCCACGTTCTCTATTAGTATGATCAACGTCCAAAGACTGTGTTTAGAGCAAATGTGGCTCCTCCACCGGGGGGTCCTCCAGGATCTGTAGACCGGGCACCGCAGCAAAAACGGGCGGTCGCAGCGACTTCAAGTCGCTCAAGTCGGTGTTTCCAAACCACACAGTTTGACCAAGGTTGGGCACATCGCACATACTATATAGTAACGGTGGATGAGGATGAGGATGAGGATGAGGATGATGATGATGATGATGATGATGATGATGATGATGATGATGATGA